TCTCTCAGTGGATTCTGCGTCTTTTTTCTCCCAATCTCTCAGGTTTTGTAAGGTTTCCAATGGCTTCAGATCTTTTCTGTGTGATGTATGGGCGCGAGTGCAAGTACGGAGCTCCTTACTTCTCCGCCATCTTGCCCCCTCTCCTTGTTAGCATATTCCTAAGGGTAAATGTGTAATGAGTTTAAAAAGAAAATTCCTTGATAAAAGGAGGTAAGAACTATTATAAAATTAATATGGAGAAAAATGTCTTGGCAGATTCTATTCCCAAATGAAATTTAACTATTGAAGTAATTGTGTCTATTTTAATGGTATTTGGTATCATTATAGTAAAAAAACGGATGTCATTTTGATGCTAAAAATATTTAAAGGATCTTTCTACTGAAATTAATCATAACTATATTACTTAATGAGAGTTCACTTTTATACTTCAGGTTTTCAAAAAAAAATATATATATATATATAAATTCCCCTGATAAGGTAAAGTAATCGTGACCTTGTGACCAAGTGTGATTTCTCTCAGGATCTTTTAAAAATAAAAAATCCATCCATGTATTTCACTGAATTCCCAATAAGGGATTTAAGAAAAATTAATACTTATTTTCATAGATGCACACAAGCATTTGATAAGGTTATTTATATTCATTTATAATAGTTATTTATGATTAAAAAAAAAAACTCCCAAAATACTAGAAATAGAAAAGAGCATTTATGTTTTCAGAAACTGTCTGCCAAAATTTGACCGCATTTTACTGAAGAGGGAAAATTTAGAAATAGTTCTTTTAAGATATGGAAATCAGGATGACCACTCAAATCCCAGGCCAGAACATAGCGGTGAGAGGAATTTAAAAATATTAGAGCTTGAAGAGCTATAAGCTGTCATTATTTGCATGTCATCCGATATCATTTAGCCTAGCAAATTGAGAGACTTTGCTCTGAAATACTAACCAGTAGATATAAATGCTGGGTCCAAAGTTCTGCACAAATTAAATTTTATTAGGAGTTCCCAAATTGTTTATGCACTGCTGGTGATAATTTAGGAGAACACTCTTTTAAGTCAAATATTTGCCCCCAAATTATAATTTTTATCATTTTAAATTTGATGTATGTGATCATTGTGACACGTCTGTCACTGTGATTTCAATTTTCACTTACTTGGTAACTAATCTGAGCATCTTCTCACATATATTTATTAATCATTCAAGTGTCATATGAACTGATTATTTGTATCTTTTTCCTGTTTCTCTTTTCACTTGTCTATTTCTTTGCTTTGGAAAACCTGTTTTGAGAGTCTGAGCAGGATAAGGGCAGAGAGGGAGGGAGACAGAGAACCCCAAACAGGATCCACACTGTCAGGGCAGAGCCTGACAACTCACAAACCACAATATCATGACCTGATCTGAAATCAAGAGTCAGACACTTAACTGACCTGAGCTACCCAGGCGCCCCTGGAAAGCATTTTTTATGAGCTTTGGGGGAAAAAATTCTTTGACTTTATTGATTGGACATATAGTTTATGTATTACATTTTTAGATTATCTTTTGTTGCATTGAAATTAAAAATTTTAGTAGAGTGTATCCAAGATGACAATAGGCAGACCCTGAACTTACCTCCTCCATGAGCACACTTATTCTACCCTTACTTATACATCTTTCTGAAGAAGAACTGGGACTTAGTGAACAACTTCTGCACCACAAAGGGTAGAAGAACTACACAGAGAACATCAGGAGAGATGGAGACATGATGACAATGGAACCCCACTCCCTGAGGCTGTAAGATGCAGTGCAGATCCCTGGTCGTACTGAGGGACCAGGAGCAGATTCCTCTGCCCTGCAGCATGGAAATAAATTTGTGGTTTAAAGGTTCACCTATAGGGGTGCCTGGGTGGCTCAGTAGGTTAAGCATCCGACTCTTGCTTTCAGCTTGCGTCAGGATCTCACGGTTTATGAGTTGGAGCCCTGCGTTGGGTTCAGCACTGACAGTGTGGAGACTGCCTGGGATTTTCTACCTCTCTCTCTCCCCCTCCCTCCCCATCTCCCTCTTTAAATAAATAAACTTAAAAAAGAATTTAAAGGTGAAACTATAGTGCTCACTTTGGCAGCACACACACTAAAACTGAGAACGATGCAGAGAAGATTAGCATGGCCCCTGCGGGAGGATGTCATGTAAATTTGTGAGGCATTCCGTATGTGGGTCAGTTCCCCAGTGAACTGACATGCTTTGTGGATTAGCACAGAAAATGGGGTTTGGAGAGGTCGCTCTGGAGGCCCACTCCAAGTTTAAAAATAAATAACAAAAATAAAAATGCAACTATACTATAAAGAATAAACTTTCCATGCAGCAGTAGGGGGTTAGGAAGTGCTAGTAAACACTGTTTATATTCTCCCTATTAATAAACATGACTTACTATTCCATTTATTCATGCCTTCTTTTATGTCCTTTAACATTTTATAATGTTGTCCATAAGAATCTTTTATATCTTGTGTTAATTTTATATGTTAGTGCAAATAGAATTGCTACCGATACATTTTCAACTGGGCATCATTACTGTTTAGAAATACAAGTGATTTTATATGTGGATTAATTTCCTAGGGCTACCATAACAAAGTACCACAAAGTGTGTGGCTAAAACAGCCTAAATTTATTCTGTCATAGTTTTGGAAGTTAGGAGCATGAAATCTAGGTGTGGAAAGGGCCATGTTCCCTCTGAAGATTTTAGGGAAGACTCCTCCTTGCCTCCCTCAGCTTCTAGTGACCCCAAGCATTCCTTGGCTTGTGGTAACATAACTCCAGTCTCTACTTAAGTCTTCACAGGGTCTCCTTCTCTCTGTGTCTTTTCTTTCTTTGAAGACCTCACTCACTGAATTTGGGGCCTCCCCTAAATTGAGAAGGATTTCATTTTCAGATCCTTAATGAATTACAGCAGCGAAGACCCTATTTCCAAATAAGGTCACCATATGAGGTTCCAGGTAGATGTGAATTTTTGGGAGATAATATTCAACTCACTTATAATTTTGTACCAAATAATTTGGTCAACCTTTCTTATTCTAATAATTTGTGGATTGTCTATGCAAACTTTTATGTTTTAATGAAACAGACAATTTTCTCATTTCCTGTCTCTTCTGTCATTCTTTCCCCCCCCTCCCCCTTTTGGGATTTCCTACTATTGCTACAACTTCAAGGAAATGTTGAGTAAAAGTTGTGATGACAAACAATTTTAATTTCTTGCTACCTAGTATAAATCCTTCTAAAATTTTACAGGTAAGTATAATGTATAGGGCTTTAATAAATATTCTTTATTATGCCAGTAAAGTTTCTACTTATAGGTTTCTGAGAGGTTGTTTTACATTGCTTTATTTTTTAATTATAAATGAGTGCTGCATTTTATTGATGCTTTTTAACCATCAGTTGAAATGATCATATTTCCTTCATCTAAAAGTTAATGTGATTGTCAGGGAGGAAAAACTGTCCCCCTACTGTCTCATATTTAGTAACTAGAGTCCTGAGAATTATACTCACAAAAGACAGAAGAACATGAAGAAAAGGTTTATATATGTGTGTATGGAAGCCAACAAAAAAGTAGCAGTCTTATCAAATGTTTAAAGTTAGAGACTTATTCATCTAATCTATTAGGGAAAAGGGAGGAGGGAGAGAAGACTCTTTGGGGAAAAATAAAAATAGGTTTCTTTAGAAAAGACCATTTGTTTTTTAGGAGAACAAATAGGATACAAGAAAGTTTGTGATAATGTTGGTTTAGGCAGGTGCTGCGTGTCTTCTTCATGGCCATGAAACTCCCCAGAGGGGCAATTGTGGTAGCCTCATTTCCCAGAAGTTGCTGCTTTTGTCAGATAAAGGATACTCCAAGAAGTCTTTTATCTGCATCTGCTGAATCTCAAAGGTCTTCAGCTTATAACATCTGCATATCGACCCTGGGGTTCTGAGCGGGTCCTGCCTGGCAAAATACAATGGATGTCCATCATTGAATTCCTAGGACAAAACTAAGCCATGATGGTTTTCTTCTCTCTTCTATTCACAGAATTCACTTGGATAGTAATCTATTTAAGGTTATTCAGCTTTGTCCCTTGGTGAAATTTTTTCTTTCTTTACTTTTCTCACAAATTGGTTTGAGGAATTTTCAGCCTTTTTTCTATTTCTGAATAGCTTATATAACTGGTAAAATAGAGTAAAAATCAGGTACAGTTTGGGGAGGGATTTTTTAATTATGAATTCACGGTCTTTAGTAATTACGTTTTTAAATTTTTAATAAGATTAATTTTTAAAACAGTTTTAGATTTACAGAAAAATGGGGGAAATACTACAAAGTTCCCAAATACTTTGTACTTTCCTATTGTTAACTATTATCATCAGACATTTATATTATACAAATATATGTGGTATATATTACTATTATAACACATATTCTATGGTATCTTGTTATAATTAGCCAATATTGATATGCTATCATTAATGAAAACTGTGCTTATTCAGATTTCTTCAGTTTTTATCTAATGTCTTTTTTCTGTGTCCAAGATCCCATGTTACATTTAGCTGATATGTCTTTTTTTTTTTAATAGCTTATTGTCAAGTTGGTTTCCCTATAACACCCAGTGCTCATCCCCACAGGTGCCCTCCTCCATGCCTGTCACCCCCCTTCCCCTCTCCTCCACCGCCATCAGTTCTCAGTTTGTTCTCAGCATTCAAGAGTCTCTCATATTTTGCCTCCTTCCCTCTCCCCCACTATGTTTCCCCTTCTTCTCTCTCATGGTCCTCCGTTAAGTTCCTCCTAATCCTCCTATACGTGCAAACATATGGTATCCGTCCTTCTCTGCCTGACATATTTCGCTCAGCATAACACCCTCAGGTTCCACCCATGTTGCTACACGTGGCCAGATTTCATTCCTTCTCATTGCCATGTAGCATTCCATAGTATAGATAAACCACGTCTTCTTGATCCATTCATCCGTTGATGGACAGTTAGGCTCTTTCCATGTGTTGACTATTGTTGAGAGTGCTGCTATGAACATTGGGGTCCATGTGCCCCTATGCATCAGCACTCCTGTGTCCCTTGGGTAAATTCCTAGCAGTGCTATTGCTGGATCATAGGGGAGTTCTATTGTTAATTTTTTGAGGAATCTCCACACTGTTTTCCAGAAGGGCTGTACCAGTTTACATTCCCACCAACAGTGCAGGAGTGTGCTCATTTCTCCACATCCTCGCTGACATCCAAGGTCCTCTGATTTGTTCATTTTAGCCATTCTGACTGGCGTGAGGTGGTTTCTCAGTGTGGTTTTGATTTGTATTTCCCTAATGAAGAGAGATGCTGAGCATCGTTTCATGTGTCTGTTGGCCATCTGGATGTCCTCTTTGGAGAAGTGTCTGTTCATATTTTCTGCCCATTTCTTCACTGGATTGTTTGTTTTTAGGGTGTGGAGTTTGGGGAGTTCCTTATAGATTTTGGATACTAGCCCTTTATCTGATATGTCATTTGGAACAATCTTTTCCCATTCCATTGGTTGCCTATTAGTTTTATGGATTGTTTCCTTTGCCGTGCAGAGGCTTTAAATCTTGATGAGGTCCCAGTAGTTCATTTTTGCTCTTGATTCCCTTGCCTTTGGGGTTGTGTCAATAAGAAATTGCTGTGGTGGAGGTCAAGGAGGTTGTTTCCTGCTTTCTCCTCTAGGGTTTTGATGGTTTCCTGTCTCACGTTCAGGTCCTTTATCCATTTTGAGTTTATTTTTGTGTATGGTGTGAGAAAATGATCTAGTTTCATTCTTCTGCATGTTGCTGTCCAGTTCTCCCAACACCATCTGTTAAAGAGGCTGTCTTTTTTTCCATTGGATACTCTTACCTGCTTTGTCAAAGATTAGTTGGCTGTATACTTTTGGGTCCACTTTTGAGTTCTCTATTCTACTCCATTGGTCTATGTGTCTGTTTTTGTGCCAATACCATACTGTCTTCATGATGACAGCTTTGTAGTAGAGGCTAAAGTTAGAGATGGTGATGCCTCCCATTTTGGTTTTCTTCTTCAATATTACTTTGGCTATTCAGGGTCTTTTGTGGTTCCATACAAATTTTAGAATAGTTTGTTGTAGATTTGAGAAGAATTCTGGTGTAATTTTGATTGGGATTGCGTTGAATGTGTAGATTGCTTTGGGTAGTCATGACATGTTAACTATATTTATTCTTCCAATCCATGAGCATGGAATGTATTTCCATTTCTTTGTGTCTTCTTCAATTTCCTTCATAAGTTTTCTACAGTTTTCATCATACAGATCTCTTATATCTTTGGTTAGGTTTATTCCTAGGTATTTTATGGGTTTTTTGTGCAATTGTGAATGGGATCGGTTTCTTGATTTCTTTTTGTTGCTTCATTATTGGTGTATAAAAATGCAACCGATTTCTGTACGTTGACTTTGTACCCTGCAACTTTGCTAAATTCATGAACAAGCTCTAGTAGGCTTCTTGTGGAGTCTGCCGGGTTTTCTATGTAGAGTATCATGTCATCTGCAAAAAATGAGAGCTTGACTTCTTCTTTGCCAATTCTGATGCCTTAGATTTCCTTTTGTTGTCTAATGGCTGATGCGAGGACTTCCAGCACTATGTTAAACAACAGTGGTGAGAGTGGACATCCCTGTCGTGTTCCTGATCTCAGGGGGAAAGCTCTCAGTTTGTCCCCATTGAGGATGATGTTAGCTGAAGGCTTCTCATAGCTGGCTTTTATGATGTTTAAGTAAGTTCCTTCTATCCCGACTTTCTCAAGGGTTTTTATTAAGAAGGGATGCTGTATTTTGTCAAATGCTTTTTCTACTTCTGTCGACACGGTCATATGATTTTTCTCTTTTCTTTTGTTGATGTGATGTATCACATTGATTGATTTGCAACTATTGAACCAGCCCTGTAACCCAGGAATGAATCCCACTTGATCTTGGTGGATAATTCTTTTTATGTGCTGTTGGATTCGATTTGCAAGTGTCTTGTTGAAGATTTTTGCATCTGTATTCATCAAGGATATTGACCTGTAGTTCTCTTTTTTTTTCTGGATCTCTGTCTAGCTTGGGAATCAAAGTAATGCTGCTTCGTAAAATGAGTGCAGAAGTTTTCCTTCGATTTCTATTTTTTGGAATAGCTTGAGAAGAATGGGTATTAATTCTGTTTTAAATGTCTGGTAGAAATCCCCAGGGAAGCCATCAGGT